CTGGTGAATATCTCGTGGAAGCGGTGCAAAGGAAGAAGAGCGAACCTCAGCCGGGGCCGAGTCTTATCTGAGCGTCGGAGGGGAAACGGAGATACCGTATCTGCCTGTGCATGCTTCAGCCCATTTGGAAAACTGCGCTGATAAACCGGCTACATTGTGGAATGAAGCTTCTCTTTGAGCTGATAATGGTGCGCGCAGTTCAACAGCATGTGGAGTCAGTTCAGATGTGGCGTTTTCTTTTTTTTAGTACACAGAAATGAAGCTGTTGCTGGTACTAACACAAGATTAAACAGCATCAAAGTCCAATACATTGAGACTATTATAAAAATATATATAAACACGATGATGATATACCCTGGAGGGATTTTTTTTTTCCCCAAAGAAATGAACAAACGAGAGGTAGCTAATTTCAGAAACGTTACAAAAATAAACCCTATCGACTCAACGCTAAGATTTAAACTGGCTGAGCTATCGAACGACGTGGATTCACAACATTAAGAGATTATTCAAACCTAAATGAGCTATCCATAAAAGAAGCTAGACCTCCTGCTCACACCAGCCGTTCATCATTTCTTCATAAAGACGTTCCTTCTATCTGCTGTTATATAACAAAGCAGGGATACCTCAAACAGAGAAGATCAATGTGGATAAATGTGTGAGCGTTAATGTTTTGCACTATTCAGCCGCCCGTGGGGGGGCGTTGCTATTTTAGCCCAAAGCTAAATGTGATTTTGATGAACCGCTCACAGGGGGGAAAAGGTTTTTATCAGGTTTGATTTTTGTTTTTTTAAATGAGCAAATAAATAATTACTGTCAATAAATGATTTTTTTAATACCTCACAGTCTATCGTTGACTACAAAAAGATAAAGAACAAATTGACCCACTCATTCATTCATTCATTCATTCATTCACTCCCTGGTGTTTCTTCAGTCCTCTCAAAACTTGAATCCAATCAGTTTGCAGTCAAATCAACAGTTGCGAATGCTGAAGAAGCCCACGCTGGTCGGCGACTCCTTGACCGTGACGGTAACCAGATTAGCTGTAACATCCGTTACGAACACGTGTTCGATCAGGCTTCTCGTAGGCTTCCAGTCCTGGCTCTGGACCGCGACCTGTCCGGCGTAGGAAGAATCCTGGTCCGAGTCGGAGCTGCTCTCCTCCTCTCCCGTGCTCATCTCGTTCATTTTGGCTTTTTTGCCGTCTTTGGAGGCCGACCTGTCCTGCTGGCTCTGGGCCTCTGTGGGGGATTTATGCACGCCGCTCCTCTCCAGCCTTCCTTGGACTCTGGAGGCCTGGATGTCATTGACCTCTCTGACCTTGTCTGTGCCGGGCTGTGTTTTTCTGGCCTGCGGTCTTCCGGGGGTCGCGGGACTCTTTGGGGGTTTACACTCTTGATTTTGTGTCACGGGTTTCCGTGCTGGGTTTGCAGCATTTCTGGGGCCTGACGCTGGTGCCGTGCCGTTTCCAGGAGCATCGTTGCTTTGCACCAGTTTGTTCTGCAGGTTGAGGGGCTGAAGGCCCTGATTGGAGGAGACGTTAGATGGCAAGGACGCCGCTGTTTTAGCACCGGGTATCCGCTGCGCTGTCGTCACAGGGGCCGGAGGCTTCTTTTGTCCATTCGGGGAGCTTAGTGTATGCTGAGTGGTTCCTTGAATGGGGTGTTTGGATGTATTCAGATTCAGCGCTGCTACGCCTTTTGATTTACTAGGAGCTGCTTTTAAATCCAGGCTTGTCCCGCTGCTCATACCGGAGACGGGAAGTTTACTCTCTGTGACATTTCTGCTTTGGCTGGACTTGTTCAGCGGGAGAGAGGAAGGCTGGACGGACGGCCTGCCAGATCCCACGGAGCTCAAGGAGTTTTTAACAGCACCGACCTGGGCGAGGGAGCTTCTGTTCGGACCACCCACCGTATCCCTGGCCGAGCCCCGGTGGAAACCCATGAAGGTAAAGCTGGCCGGGTGAACCGGCTTCTTGATTGCTCCTGGAATATCCGTATCTTTGGCGGTCTTGCGCGGGCCCTTGTTCTGCTGGAACTCCTTCACTTCGGAGGGCAGAGGTTTCCTACTCCGTTTCTTGGGAGGCTCCTGTTTCGCCATGACTATCTGCGCCTTCTTCTGAGGGACAGGATTCAGCTCTCTCGTTCTCACGCTCGGGCTGACTTGTTTAACTTGGTCGTCCTCGTCATCATCATCCGAGGACGACGAGGAAGAGGAGCACGAAGACGAGGAATCGGACGAGGACGACGACGAGCCGGACGAGGAGCTGCTCGACTTCGGAGCTTCAGGCATGTTTTCCTACGTTTTTAATAAGAAGGGAATGTTAGATACTCTGTTCGGGACTAAATCCTAGAATCATCTTTTGAATCAAACTTACAAGGATTTTCCGAGGCCGTCCTCTGGGCCTCTTCCCTCTTTTACGCAGCAGAAGCTCCTTTTCCTGCTCTCTGTAATACGTCAGCAAACATGAAACGAGGAGTCACAATTATTAAACATATTTCATATTAATGTTGTGTGTTGCACGGCAAACTTTAAAGCGCGGTGCATCTTAACGTAGACACTTACTTCTTGTTGAATGCAGCCAGCAGTCTCGGGTCGAGGATATTTTCTTGGGGCTCCCAGCTGTTGTGTCTGAAACGAGCAGACGTGGCGAAACATTAACACACGTTTTAGTGTTAATCCGAATCAAAAACTAAAGGTACTCCACAGTTTGAGGAGTGCTTCCAGATTTAGAAAATGACTTTTCAACAGAGTCCATTCATTGAGCAACACAGGGCTGTGTTGTTCTAGCAGCCATAAACCGAGCACAGGCAGTCCCTCACTTTATTTAAAGACCTCTCAGGTGAGCTCAAAACAGGACGAGAACAGAAATCGAATAGTCGGGAGATTAAAACAACACTACAGCTAGTGACAGCTTGGCTTTATAGAGATAAACAGACCCGTGTAACCACAAAGTCATAAAACACCAATTAGTAAACAATATCTTAATATGTAGGGCGAAGACCCGTCTGTCTGTACTGCACTCGTGGTTTGAGAATGATTTAAACAGCTACAAAAACTGTTTATTAAACAGTAATAAGGACTGAGCGGATGACAGAAAAAGTTCAAATCTGATCGATTCTATACATCACACCATACGTGAGGCATCAATCAAACTGCTGACTTTAGGTACTACACCGAATCAGTTTCTTTCACTTCCTTTGTTTCCACAACAAGCACAGTTGTGTTTGTTGAGGCAGGAAGTAAGCGCATTATTTTGGGTCACGGAGGTTACCAACGCGAGTGGGAAGTTGTAAAAATACAGAATTTCTTTTTTCCATCAACACAAACAACTTTGTTTTGCAGAGCTTTGTTGGTGGTGCCTGCACACGATGTCAAAGGCTGGCTGTTATTGAATTTGCTCATTGTGGCGTTGTTCTTGTTTGTTTTTCAATCTTATATCTGAATCTGAAGTTTGAGCATCCGCTAGCTTGATTCCTGAGCGTGGCTGCATCAGTGACTAATAATTTGATAGTGAGCATAAATGGAGGAGAAAATAACTAAATGGGCTAAGTGCAGAAACAAACTGAAAACAGGCCTTTTCAATGATCACACGCATGTCTAATGACCACTCGCTTTATCAGGAGCTGGTGAATGGCCCATTCTGATCTGCAGTCACCAGTGAAATAATCAACCCCCACCCTTTCGTTGCACACACACACACACACACAAAGGATGTGGTTCTAACAGAAAGCCATGGAGCTGGCAGGCAACAGTGTGCATTGATGGTGGATTACAGCAACAATGTGAAGTGAACAGAGAGGGCAAGTGACAAGAAATGAAGGCGTAGTGGAGATTTACAGGCACAAACATGCACGGATAACACACACTTCGAGTGGAACAGCACAGAGAAATACTTATATATACACATTTAAATCAAATATCACGTAACCATCGTGAATTCAGGATGCCCCAGTCCGAGGCAAAGACAAAAAAAACGATGAATAAAATCAGCCAAACTAAAACGAATAAGTTGATGTATGAAAAGCTGAATTAGCCCTAAAGTATTTTCTTTGGCTATCCGATAACTTCCAAAACGTAAATATCGAACAAAAGGAAGCAAATGTGTATTGTGTAAAACCCTCAAATGGAAATAACGGAGTTTCATTTTACTGCTGTTGAAATTTGGATTCTTGTGCTTTTATTTATTTTTTAAAAATAAAAAAAAAAGTTTGGGTTTAGCTAAAAGCAACAAGCGACACGCTGTTGTTGTTTTCATTGTTTCGGCCGGAGCAGCACCACTTGTACTTACTTGGATGACCATCCCCTCCACTTGACGAGAAACTCCAACTTTCCCTGAAAGAAAAGCCCCAAAAGAGAAACAGACCGTTTGTAAAATAGGAGGAAAAATACGTGGATAAAATCTAACACCGCGGTTTCACAGCGCTGACCTTTCTCATTCGTTTGTTTAAGATGCATTCCGCATCAAAAACCTGCTCTCCCACGGCGCTCAGTTCCTCCATGTCTGCCTTCGCCCTTGCATAAGAATCCTTTATCAAAAGAACAGCGCGGCGCCCGCACGGCGGAATTACGCTGGGACCAAACCGGATGCTCAAGGGCCCGCCTTCAAAATAAAAGCGCCAAGCGCCAAAATTCAGCCAGAGGGCTATTTTCAATTTGATATCCCGCAAGAATTTTTTTAAAGCATCTAGGCTTGTATAACAACACAAACTGCGCTTAACATGAATGCAAAAATATCAAGAAAAAAAAAACAATTAAAAACATATACAGTCAGAATATATAATATTTGATGCCAGGTCTCTCTTGGAAATGAGATTTTTAATCTCAATGAGATTTTTTTTTTTACCTGGATAAATAAAGGACTAATAAAAAATAAAACACACACAAAATTGATTTCATAATAGAATAGTTTATTCCGTTAATTTTATGCACAAGATTTATTTTAACATGGTTTACGCAAGAAACAAACTCCAGCAAGTAAACCAGTTAAATAACCAGTTCACGTAGTACAAGTTTAAAGGGCAGCATGTTGATTAAAGTATTGTATTTAAATAAGTTCCATACAAGTCTTAAATGTTATGCTAAAAAGAAAAAAAATGAGGGCTCAGCTAATGAGAACTAAACAGCTCTGGCGTACATTTTTAGCTGTGCAAGACAAATTAAAGTCAAAATATGTATTTGAACTTTTGATATATAGACAATAATATATAAAAAAAAAAACGGAGGGTTTACATTTATGTTGAAAGTTACAACCGGAAGTGTTGAGCACCCGTGTTTAACTTGACATTTTTATCCGAGGAGAGGCGGCAACTGATGAGTATGTGGTTCCTCAAAATATGTCACTTGGCAGCCACCGTAGACGTGTATTCACTTCTTTAAATGAAAGTAGAGACGCGATGGCCTTAATATGATGATCGCTACTTTGTTCTCAGCACCTTTTATCTTAATTTAATTGCTCACAGCCCTCACCCCAAAACCTCGTTTTGCTTTGTGGCTTTTATGTTTATTTAGTACATAAAAGTAATATAACGCTACGGTAATGGTCTCAGATGTTTATATTCCAGTGTCCCAACACAGCACTGCTTATTGATGTTTATTCCCATTTAATTACAGCAGATTTGAAAAAGACCTAAATGTTCTTCATTCATGCATAAACCAGGGCATCTCCAGTTAAACTTGTTCTGATCCTTCTCTTGTCACTTTGTATTATTTGAAAATAGCTAAAATAATAATTTACACTCTGCTCTTTGGGTTCTAATGCAATTTGC